CCTTCATTGTTTGGGATGATAAAGTAATTTTATAATCTTGGCCTGTATTTGCCATATAGAACAAAACTAATTAAAGTGGAAGTTTTGTAGCATGGCTGTGATTTGCTCAGCATGGGAAGCTTTGCAGCGTAGTGGATAACAAAAGCTTTGCTTTAAAATCAAGTCTAGATTAATAATTACAAAATAATTATTGAAAACCTGTTTGATAACTTATAACTGAAGGGTTTGAGCTGAATCATGGGAAGTGCAGTAGGTCCATGAAGAGGAATGTGCAGGAAGATGGCCACTGTTCCCTTTTTGTTGTATTCTACTGCTTTGAATTGTTTTCTGTTTCTTCATTGCTTTTTTATTTGCATCCATTTATTCCAGCAGGATTCTCATTTGCACCCATTCTAATAGTGCTGCTGATCTCTACATAAAGGATTATTTACATCCCTATGTAGAAGCAGGCAATCCCCAGGCAAGACCTCTCAGGTATTTTTTTAAGGCTTATTATGTATCTGTGAAATACTATTCTTAAGAAAAGGTGTCTATAAAAAAAGGTTAAAGAACTTTTAAAATATAAAAGCATATTGGCATTACCAGCAGTGCATTTAAAAGCAGCCTAAAAGGAATGTGAAATATTGTAACAATTTTTGGTCATTTGTTAAATAAAAATAAAGACATCCTTTTTTAAGCTTCTATTATTCTGTTGATAAATGTGTCTTTCCTAATGAGCAAACTTTTGATACACTCCTCTAAAAGCTACTATGATAAAATAAAATGGATTTTAGTTGTGTTTTAATTTCTGAAAAATTTGCCTTGCAATTACAAGGTTAATTTGGAAACTGGGATTCCCCACCTGGCTTCTTGAAGAAACATTTTGGTGTCATAGGAGAAATGTGTGAAAGCAGTTTGGCCTCTTCTGATAAATCAGTGTGAAGTGCTTGTTTATGTATTGAAATGTACTTACTTAATGTGCACTGGGGAAATGGGTTTAGGTAAAAAAAAAAAAAAAAAAAAAAAGCAGAATCTCAAGAGCAAGGAGGGCAAACTTGCATGGAAATAGTTAAGGAGGATTTATTTCTGGGCATAAATCTGCTCCTGGGAACGTTTTGCCCAGTAATCACAATGTATACTTTATACTGCTAACTTAGTGTGTATATATATATATATATATTATAAATGATGAGCATCATTTTCTGAATGCCAGGGGTGAGTTTATAATATTGCTAAGAAAATGACTCTGTGTTTACTTGCTAGCTATTAAAAGCCATCCTGGACTTATATTTTATGCCATGTCAGTGAAGCCACTGAAGTTATGTGACAAGGCTGCATCTGCCACAGGTGTAAATTCTCTTAGGTCTGTTGGCTTTGGTTGCCATTGACATTTTACAGACACTGAGGGGCTGGCCAAGGGAAGGAAGGCAGTGTTGTTTTTTAAAAGATACCTTTGATCTGGTTGTGTTTTAACACAGATTGTCTTAAGGTGATTTGTAAAGCACTTTGGGATGAAAACCTTTATGGATAAATCTTAATTTTCTGAAGGGAAAAAAATGTGTGTTATTCACCTTTTTGGGAATATTGAAATGTAATTTAACAGTGCAAGGAGTTAAATACAGTTTTATTGTTGCCACGTTGTTGCTGCCTTGTTTTCAACTGTGTAGTCCAGTCTCAGAATTATGAAAAACATAAAAAGTCATATTTTTCTTATGGTTAAAATTTATTTGGATATTTACTAAGAGAATCACAGCATGTAACTTAAAAGTCACTGAGTGTTTGAATGTAAATTTAATTGTTGTAGCATTTGTTAAAGAGCCTTCAGAAAGTGCTGCTGTAGATTGTCTGATGCTGTTCAAATAGCCAGGACACCTCTATAAAAAATTGAAATTTAAGGAAATGGAGGCACCTCTGGAGTTGTGTGTGTATGTTAATAGAGCCACAAGTATGTATGGTTCCAATAAAAAATCTGACAGATAAAGTTGTTTGAACTCACAGTGCATTAACCTGCCCTGGCAAGAGTTAAAGGTCAATTTTTCTGAATCCAAACTGGAATTGTGTGAGACTCCCAGTTCAAAATCATTTATGGATGTACCTCCCTTATTGACTGTTGTAAAGGTGTGTTTTCAAATTAAAATCATTACTGTTAGATTAAACAGGGGGATCTGAGCCTCTGCAGTATTTAAAAGGAAACATCAAGTGGAGTGGAAGCAGTTAATTATTCAAGGTAGATGTGCTGCTTGCAGAGCTCATTGTGGTTCTAAATAACTGAACACTGCTGTAGATTTTATCTCTTATTTGCTCTACAAGTGATGAGTTGGCTTAGTGGGGAGCAACACAATATTTTATAATATTTATGTTGTTTTTAAAGGAAAGCTAAATTATTTAACATTTTGTACTGAAAACCATGTAGATCTTTCCATGGGTAAGATGTACATTAAATAAATTATCCTGTCAGTGATGTGACATAAAAGTTTGAAAAGTAGAGTTGGTGGAGCTTTTTGTTTAAATATCAAGTTATAAATTTGTATTATCTCTTAATAAAATAACATCCTCTGCCCTTTGGAAAATACAGAGTCAGAGCGAACAGTGAGAATTTATGTTAAATCTAACTTCTGCACCTAAATGAAATACCAGCAAAGCCTGAAGGCCAAATTCTCATAGTCCTGATGCCCATAAACAAATTATTACCCAGAAAAAACCTGTGCCCCTGGGTTTGATGAGATGAGTCAACTGTATTGGGGGCACACTCCAAAATCTGCCTTTTACTGGAGAAACTGGACACTGAAACACTTTCATACACTTACATAAATGAATGCAGAAATGTTTCTGAAGGAGTGAAACCAAACCCAAGCTCCAGCTGGGAGCAGAGAGCTCGGATGAAGTGCTTCTGTTTGATGGTGAGCCACCTGATTTTTTTAAAGGCAGGCACCTTTAGATGGTGAGTCAGAGCTGTAAGAGGGAGTAATTGGCTCCTGATTTGTATTTGCTTTTACTCCTTGGATGTGCCTGTGTCCATCAGCTGCTGGAACCTTCTGGAGGTGGCTGCTGAGGCAGGAGAATTCACATTGTCACCCTCTTCTAAAAACTCCAGCAAGCAGTAGCAGCAATTCCTCTGTATTTTGCTGGGCAGTGGTTGAGGCATTATTATCATATGAATTTAGTGTTATTTTACTTGCATTTTTCAGATTTAGTTGTTTCCATACGCTGGAATACTAAGGGAAAAGGAAAGAGATTGATCCAGCCTTTATCTGTATATTGAGTATTTTTATTTATTCCTAAGCATGGTCTTGCTTTGGAATAAATAAAACTAATATCTTCAGCTCAGCAGTGTCAAAAAATAAGTTGGTTCTGTTAAAAATATCTCACTGAAACCCCTTCAGTTCATTTTTTACTACTTTGATCATAGCATTCATATGTAAGTTCTGCATATATCCTGGAACCAGGTAGCTTTAGTATACTGTGGCTGCTAGCTAAGAATTACCCAGGTTATAAAAAATAATCCATAGGAGCCAGAGTTGAATTAGAAAAGAAAGCAAACAGTAACTCAGACCAAAAACCCTCAGCAGGTTTTAAAACACCATTGCCCCCTTTTCCAAATGAATTCTTGTACGGAAAATGGAATTAATTTATCTTACCAAACGTTAGTTTGGGAAATAAATTACTCTGTTGAAACTCTAGCTTCCACCTTAAAGGAAAACGGGATTAAAAAAAAGGGAACTTTCAAGTTGTGGGACAGGTTTTTCACATGTTTTCTGCCTCTCAAGGAACAGATTTATTTGTGAGAATGAGCCTCTCTTTGGAGATGGATCTAAAGAAATGGAAGAGGGAAATCACAGGTGCTTTTAAAGTTTCCTTTAGGCTTCTTGAGACTTGATAGATTTATTTATTTTAGCGGTCTCTTAACAGAGACATGAAATTACCCTGCTAGATTGCTTTCCCTGTGAGTTTTTGTGCTGTTTTTCCTTGGGGGATTTCAGGTGAGAGTTCCCAGCGCCAAGGCTGAGGAGGTGGGATGTGTCCCAGAAGGGTTTATTGCAGTGCAGAGTCCTGGCCTTTCTCTTCTGAACTGAGAGGAGTCAAGATCAGAACGGGAAGAGAAATTTTGAAAACTGAAGCTTAGTCCCCACTGTTGTAAGGAGTCACCAGAAGAAATCACTGTTGTAGGACAGGAGTGCAAATTTAACTCTTTTCAGCCTCCCTCAGAGGTTCTGACTCCAGACTCCCCCTTTTATTTCATTTCAGAGGTGTATTTTAAGTGGCTTAGAAGCAATCCCAGCGTGGAACGACTTGATTTAACTGACACTTAGTTGAAATAGTTGGGGAAATTTTCTTTTGTGCTGCCATGCAGGGAAGATGCTGGAAGCACAGAGAGGTCAGCTGCCAGCTCCTTGCATTCCTCATTGGCTGGAGATGCACAGAATTGAAATTTCTGTTGTAGGTACCCAGATGCCCCACTTAGAAATAAATTTCTACAGGAAATGCAGATTCCTTGTGTGTTAACCAAGCATTAAATGCAGTGGAAATATTCAGTGCCTTTGTTTGCAGAAGATTGAGCCCCTAATCTATGATCTTCTGGGATTTCCATTTTGAGGCAATGCTCCATGTATGTACCAATAATTTCACTGCCTGTGATTTGGGTAAACCTTACCCTGCAAGGTTTTCATTTCTCCAGAATTAAAGCCTTGATATGAGGCATGTGATGGGAAAAAAATATCTTGTAAGCTGTGGTTGGGTTTGGGTTCTGTGCAAAGAACAAAGTGGTACAAACTGGCTGCAGCCTTTTCCCAAATAATAATAAAATGTGTTGTGGGTACTAATGAGTGTTTTGATTAGTAACTACCTGATTGCTGGAGTTCAGGGGCTCTGCTCATGCAGGGTTAAGACTAATCATTTTAGAAGTTTAGTCTTTGTTTAATCAGAAGTTAAGGGCATATTGCAGGGTGAAATGTTACGATTTCTGTTAAGCTGGTAAACCCCATTTTTGTAGTTGGTTCTTCCAACTTGGAGGAAAAAACCCACCCAATAATGAAATTATGGGTGATTCTATCAGCCCAAGTTGCACCTGAGAAAGAAAGTCCTTGTTCAGTGAAGCTTAACTTCTCTCATGACATTTTCCAAGTAGTCACATCTGTCAGGTGTTTTTATGCCAGTGGTGAATAATAGCTCTGGGATACCTATTTGATCTCACATCAAAATAAAAGAAATTAATGGGTAAGCAGCAATGCAGTTTGAAATGCTGTCAGCCAATCTGTGAGTCACCCAGAGTTGAATTTTTGTAATAAAAGACAGTGCATGGTATAATAATGTCTAATAACCATAATATTTTGCATTTCAATAGCACCTTTCATCCAAGAATCTCAAAGTGCTTTACAAACATAAACTCCCAATAAACTCAGTAATGCTCACAGTACTCCTGTGAGGTGATGGGTAAGTATAACCTCAGTTAAGGTTGGGAAAGTGAAGCACACAAAAGCTGAGGATAAAAAGCTGGGATGAGTGGAGCAGGGGTTATCTTGCTCCCTTGTTGTAGCTGTTAGGCCCTGACTTGGTGCAATAACAGTTTATCAAATCAAACTCATCCCTTTGATAGCTGAGAAGAAATAAATATGTGGGGTAACATTCGGAGCCTCTTGTTCTGAGAATGACTCAGCAGTGTGGGGGTTGCTCTGAACCCAGATTTACCTGGAGTTACCTTTGGTCTCCAGTGTGGATTTGCCTTGGTTGTGTTGTCAAATCAAAAGTCATTCAGGGTACTGAGGTGCCTTTGAGTTTCATTTGGTCCAAAATGGGCAAGGTATCTTCACAAACCAGATTTATTCTAGTGCTGGTACTCGTTTCCCTCACATCACATGGAGCTCAGCTGTAATTTTCAGACGTGGGTGGACATGTGATATCCAGAGTCCAGCCAGTGCAATCATGCTCTGCAATTAGGTGCATAATTACACATTTCCAAACACTTTATTAATGATTTGGGATTTGAACTATGGGTGCAGGAGAAATAAAATAATGAATAGATAAACTGAACACCATTAAATCCTATATTTAGAACTGAAATTATTTTAATTAATTTCATCTTCGGAAATAAATTTAGGCTTTAATTTCTGTACAATAATTTCTTGTAGTTTAAAGGTTCCACTTCAGATTTATAGTTCTTGTTAGAGATTTGGTGGTGAGGAGCACCTGATGGAGGTGTCACAAGGCATCTTTATCCAGCTCCTTGCAGGATGTGCTCACCCTGTGGAGTTACCTGGACCCTGCATTCTGTGTTTCTCTTCCATGTGGCCAAACTGGCTGTAACAGACCATCCCTTCCTGAGAAAACTTCATCACTGATCCCTGGGATGGTGGTTAAAATAACCTGATGTGTCATGGAAGGGTGTCTGAAATCCAGTCAACGTCCTTATATTATAGACTCCAGTCAAACTTCTGGCATTGTTCTCCCATTTTTTTATCCACAGTATCACAGTTATGGCCCTGTGTGATACAAAGATGACTCCACCTCATGTTTGGTTTGTGGAATTCAGACAACACAGGGGATGGGTGGGAGGAACAGCAGGATTTGAGTGTATTTCATGTATCAGCTGCAGTGGCTGAGATGGGCAGACCACAGTCAGTTCCATACTCTGGGCTATAGTTACATTTCAGGTCAGCAAATATTTACTAAAAATGAGTGTATTGTAAGTTTAAAATTAAATAGGCATTGATGTGAGGATCACAGGACATAAATATTTGAAGAATTTACCGATGTCTATATGTGAAATAAAACCTGCTAACGTTAGTTCATGTATGGAAAACTGCACTGCAATTACAGAAGGTGAATCCAAGACATTTTAGTGTGTAATTCTGCACAGTTGCGCCATTTTGCTTCTTGAAGATGATACTTATTATTCAGAAAACAGAATATTATTGTTTGAAATATTTGAAATATTAAGCAGTGTTCCAAGCTGATGGAAAATAAACCCCTTTTTCTCTCCTAGGGTATATTTCCGAAATCGCTGGGTAAAGACTGTTCACCCAGTTGTGCATCAGTACTGTTTGATTTCAAGCACACATTCCACCTTCCAGATGCCACAGAAAGAAGACATTCTTAAGCAAAGAGTAGTAGTTGTTACTTTAAATACATCACAGTATCTATGTCAGCTGGATCTTGAACCAGGTAAGATAATTTCTAGACCAGAAGTGGCCATGCTTAAGAAATATCTCCCTTTTGACACTGTTGGTCCCTTACCCAATTCTTGGAACTGTTAAAAAATAAAGTAAACAATGATAATCTTAAAATGTTTGTTTGTTTTTTATGAATAAATGTTTATTACAAAGCTGTAAACTGCTGGCATTCTAATTAACCTTTTGCTTGTTTTTTTTTTTCCCCTTCTTAAAAAAAAAAATTAAATAAAGAAGCAGTACTATCTATGATCTGGTGTTTGTGAGATCCAAGAGGGAAAATTCTGTTTGAGATTCTGACTTTGAATATTATGCTCATTAAGGTCATTACTCAGTGGAGCATGTAAGCATAAATAACAGAGAGCTTTTTCCCCTTGTTTTGTGAATTGTTTAGCTTTGCAAGCAACTCCCACACATACAAGCCCTGTCTTTGTTAACATGATACATTTAGGGTTGTTTTCTAAACTGAAAGATATTAGACTGATTTTTGGGGGCAGAGGCTGCTCAGGGTTTATTATTTTCCTGATCTCCAAATTAAATCCATCTGCTTTTTAGAGAATATGGAATTTCTTTACATGAGTTGTTAGGATTAGTTTTTTATGGCTACATTTAAGCGTTTGTTGCAACAGAGAAAACGAATATGGAATTTGTGGTAAATATTTTTGGATCTTTAGATAGAAATAGCTGCTTTGTTTGGCAGCAGGCTGTGTACAGTCATGCCATAGCAATGTCTGTGCAGCTGTATGAAATTCATATTTTCCAAAGAAAATTGCTGCATTTTTATGTATGTAATCTGAATTGGATGGTGCACCAAGTCCTCTAATACTTTGTTTTAAACCTTAATATATCACAGACATCACTGTATAAAACCACTTCTATACCTATCCTGAGTTTAGATTTCATAAAATACAAGTCTACAGTGGCCAAGTTTCTTTTCAAGTGCATGTTCTGCAGTGCATAGATTCCCACCAAACCTTTGGTCCAATATTATCAAAAGATTGAATTTAAATTTTCCTTCAACTTCTGTTCCTTTTTTCCCCCCCAACATTCCTTTAAGCCCATAACCAGCAAAGTGCTCAGGTATGTGTGCAATTTTAATGGGAAATTTAGTATATAAAATAATTACTAGGACTCAAGTACATGAGGAATTCCTTGTTAGTGTCCAAAGCTCTTCAAGTCTCATGGTGGCAAACTAACTTTCAGATTTGAGAAACCTCTTGAGGGATGGTCTGCCAAGAGATATTTCATCTTGGAGTAAGGAGGGCTCAGATAAAATGTGTTTAATTTCATGTGTATCACAAGAAAGAGGCAGACCTGGGGCTCCTGCTCATGTCCCTGGCCACCAGGTGACCACTGTTGGTCATTTGATGGGTGTGAAAATTGTGTGGTTTTCAGTAGCTGCTAGAAATTAATTTGTGGAAGCCATACTTTTTTAAATTCTAGTTTTGGTCACTATCAGAATACAGAATGTTAAATTCAAGTTCTGGTTTTCAATATTCATTTTATCAAATTTCAAATTTCATTTATTTGGTGAAATTTGTGTTTTACAGGGTTTTTTACACACATTCTGTTAGATGAAGCTGCTCAAGCTATGGAGTGTGAAACGATTATGCCTCTGGCATTAGCTAATAAAAACACAAGAATTGTCTTGGCTGGAGACCATATGCAGGTAAGAGCTGTGCAATTTTTGAGTATGAAGTGCATATGTACAATATTTGTATTTATCTGTTTAAGTTATTTATCTGCACCAAATCATATAATAGATGGGGAAGGCAAGGAGAATTCCAGGGATGTTATTTAAGATATGAGGGTATTTATTACAGTCAGGAGTTTATGACTGGTAATCCTTGCTGATTTTTAAAAGAATTTAAGAATATGGAGAATTAGGATTGAGAGAACTTTAAATTTTTATTAGAAACATCTAATCTGGTGAAGATTTGAACAAGTGAGAAATAAGAAGCTGAAACTAGCCAGTGTTTTTATGTTGCTGCAAAGTGCCTGGGAGCTGCTTGGTTTGGAGAGTTTCAAACACTGATTCTGCCTGTCATTTTTCAGCCTGTAGGCATGAGAAAGCATGCTTGGAAAAGTCAGCTTTACTTGCTTTATTGATTTAGGGCAGATTTATTTGGTTTTATAGATTTGCCTTTAATTCTCCTTGCATCTCACAGCAGCAGTAGGGTGGAAGTGTGCTTTGGTACAGTAACAAACTCAGAGTGGTGTTGCCACCAATAATTTAATACCACTGGATAATTTCAATGATATTAATAATGCCGAGTAGTGGGGTAGTGCTTTTTAAATATTACTCTCAAAATGCTTTTCAAGAGCTTGGAATTGTTACTTCAGGCTTGATCTCACCAGCCCAGCTGTGTGGATGAATTCCTCCCAGGGCCTGTGTCTCAGGCTGCTCTGTAGCTCAGGGTCTTACAGAAGATTCTCCATCAGCTGTCCAGTATTTAAATCTCAAAAACTAATACGTAGCTGAATCATATGAGTTCAGAATGACAAAATAGATTGGCTTCATTTCTGCATTTGGAAATTTTGTTTTAAGAATCTAATTTTCATCTTCTTTGGTTCTATTTTTCCTGCTGTAGTAAATGTTGGCTTTATTGTTAAACAAGCCCAGTAGGAGTTTAGTGTAACAGTAAATAGGTCACTGGGTTTTTGTTTTTTTCAACAACATTTTTGTTTAAGTTTTTAAATGGTACTGAAATTTCTTTGTTTTATGATTTGTACTATTTGTGGTAATAACTGAATTGTAGAAGTGGTTGTCAGAATAATGGTGTAAAGTCATTCTAAACACAGTAGGGAATGTTAAACTTCAATAGAAGGACTCTTTGCATAGTTATTGAGTATTTTATTGTTCCTTTAAGACCATGCTGGTCTTTTGTTACTTTTCTGGGAGGCAGGAGCATTTCTTTGGAATAACCATGGTCTGTGTCTTCCAGCGATGAATGTCCAGCGAGAGGGAGGTTTCATTTCTGGGTTGATGCAAGTACATATGTTGGGAGCATGAAATTCCAAGTCCACCCATTTAGTTACATTTTCTTTGTGTGTGTGTGTCTATTACAGCTCAGTCCTTTTGTCTACAGTGAATTTGCCAGGGAGAGAAATCTCCACGTGTCCTTGCTGGACCGGCTCTACGAGCACTACCCTGCCGAGTTCCCGTGCAGGATCCTGCTCTGTGAGAACTATCGCTCCCATGAAGCAATCATCAAGTAGGTGTGAACTTTTTCACTCTATCCCGTGCTTCTTCTGACTGCTGACCCTGGACAAAAGAGCCAAGCACAGCTGAAGTGTTGCTGGCATGAAATCTTAACTTGTTTCAAAGTTAATTAGTAATTCTGTGTGGTCATTTGCCAGGGCTGTGGGACAGAGCCCTCATTCAGGTTGGGCTTGCACACTAAACCAAAGAAGAGCCAGCTTTCCCTTTTTAACCACCCAGCAGTTTGTTATGTAGGCTCTGTGCTCCTTTGAACCATTTCAGAATTTTAGATTTACTGGGGATGATTATCTTGGAATGGTGAGCTGTGGGCAATGTAAGGAACATATGGATATCCAACTGTGAATGGAAAAAATAGGTCAAATTTTGAGCATGTTTCTTTACTGTTGACATCTTTTATTACTTCTTTCAAGACACATTAATCAGTGGGTTTGCATTTTTATGCTATGATAAACTAATGGCTGCCAGTGTAATGAGCTCATCCATGAGCTGTGCTGGAAAGAATAAGTGCAATCATGGGGAAAAATGCTAAAGTTTAAATCCTGGCTCAAATATGTACTGAGGAATATTATGTTGGTACCCAGTCATACTAATTAGGTTATCACTGTGTTCATAGCAAAAGCAGAAATATTTAAGTGCTCTGGGGAATCAAAAGTGAGAATGTAAAATGTTTTTTTACATAGCTTGATCTATCTTCACTTTATGGACTTGGTAGTTATAGGCTGAGTGCTGCTAAATTTCTTACCCATATTCTGAGTTTCTGAGTTTGAAATGAGAGAACATCTGTAAAGGAAGGGATCATTTCAGCTTTTCTTTAGACATCACTTCCATGTCATTTACCTCAGAAAGATCATGAAAATTCACTTCAGCAGCTGGAGCTCAGACAGGGAGTCCCAAGAAAGAGCCACTTTGTTGAACACTGAGGTGAAAATGCAGAAACACCACTGGGTCTGCTTGGCCCTCTGGTCCAAGCCCAGTGTACCCAATTCCACTGGGAAATGTTGCTGTGGGAGGTGAAAGCAGCTGAACACTCCCATGGTGGTCCCTTTAGGAGATGTCTCAAGTCTCCTTTTTGTGTTTTGTGGAATTTCCCCTGACAAATGGGACCATGACACTTAGGACAGAAGTGTAGGAAGATGAAGGGCTCATTAATCATCTCTACCTCACTGAAGCAGAGACACCATGAGAAATAGAGGAAAGAAGGAGCCATTAGTTAAGCCTGACTTTGGCATTGTAATTGGAAAAAACAGCCCATACAGAAAAGTTTTGTTGTTTAATGAGATCTCATTACTGAAAGTTAATTTGCAGAAGAGATGGTTAGATTTGCCCCCTGGCTGCTGCAGCCTAAGCCAGAGAGGAGCCCAGTGTTCTTCAGGGTTGTCCAGGGTAAGGCAGTGCAGGTCAGGGTGGGCTGCAGTGCTTTGGTGGTGATTTGGTAGCAGAAAAGTTTCTGTGGCTTTTCCATGAGCAGCTGCTTCCATCTCAAGCTGCAGTAGCAGGAATCCTGGAAGAACTGGATGGAGCCACCAGCTGCACAATCTCCTGCTTTGGTTGTCTTTGTGCCAGGCTCTGCTCAGGTTTCTGCAGCCTCTGAGTGATATCCAGAGAAAATTAAGGTTGGAGGCTGAGCATTGAAAGTGAGATGATAGCAAAATTCACTCATTACTGAATCCAGTGCATTAATTTGGCTCTACTGTGCAATAACATTTACAGCACTCTGCAGCCTCTCCTTGCTGCCTTTTTGTCTCGTTCCATTCAGGTTGCCTCTTTCCCTCCTGCTTTTCTCCATGAAGTAGTTCTTGCCTCATTTCTTTTCCAGTCAGAGGAACTGTCCTGGTTGTGTTTCTGGTCTCTAGCAACGTAGATCAGCCTGGAGTGGAAGCCACAGAAGAAAAGCTTGGTTGACAGCTGAACACTTGGCCTGCATCATGCTCAGTGCACACGAAATCTGTAGTAAATTTATCTTGCAAGTTCAATAACTCTTAACTGACATGAGCAAGCTCATTGTCCAGCCTGGGGAATAACCAGTGCCAGACAGCAAGTGTTCTTCTTGCCCACTTTCCAGCCATCAGAACTTCTGAGTGAAACATCAGTGAGAATGTTCATAACTTTGTTAAGCTTTAGATGAGAGGAGAAAACAGCCTTTGTAGAAAAAGTGTTGGAGAAGCATATTTTTAGTGCCTTCTGCTGTGTCTGTAGAAGGGAAATATCAGTTCAGAGAAATCATTTGAAGATGCTGAATAGTAATCAGTGGTTCTGTTTTCCTTATGAAGTATTTTGTGGTTGCATATTTCATCAGGGAGATTTGCATATTTTATCAGTGAGCTCATGTGTAGACTCCACATTTTCCCCTGTTTTGCCTCGTTACAGTTACACATCTGAACTTTTCTATGAAGGCAAATTGATGGCAAGTGGAAAGCAGCCAGCACACAAAGATTTCTACCCTTTGACTTTCTTCACAGCACGTGGAGAAGATGTGCAAGAAAAAAATAGTACAGCTTTTTACAATAATGCAGAGGTAACTCTTCTTTGCTTTTACTGTTGATTGTTTTTTTAAAGCTCCACTCCCCCAAATTTACTGGTTTATGCTGTGTGGGTGGAAGACATAAATTGTCCTCTGCTAGGAGAGTGGAACATGGAGTTTGCTAAACATGATGTAATGAAAATTGCAATTGTAGTAAACATTTCCACTAATTTACCTTCTTTTTTTTCTCTGCAAATTATAAGCTGCATCTCATTCTCCCAGGCTCATTCTTCAGGAGAGAAGATTTGTCTTTCCTGATAATTTATGTGACATTCTGATAGATGTATCTTAGCAACTGAGAGTAACTGCAATTTGAAGTAAAACTTAGATTTCTTTGACTGTTGTAGAAATGTTCCCACTCAGATAAGAGTCCTCAGGAGTAACATTTCACATTTCCTTTAATATGTTTGGGATCAGTGTCTAACTGATAATGTGCAGATGAGATTCTTTTAGGTGAGAACTTATTCTCTGTTTGTTTCATGTAGATTTATTGATATTCTTCAAAAATTGCTTTCATTCTCATTCCTTCCCTTGTGTTTTAAAGAACCAAACAACCCAAGCCCACAAAAACAAACACATGCAGCAGCACCCACCTCCCACCTTCTGCCTTGATAATGCTGCTCATAGTGGAAGATGCCTTTTTCCAGTTAGGGAGGGAGGGAAAATCAAATAACAGTGATTTTCATAAGCTTAGGAGGAATTTCTGGGTAGTGCTTGTTGTGAACACTGCAGAGCTGCCTGTTCCCCCTTGTTGATCATGGTGGGGTTCCTCTGCTGCACAATTTGAAACCTGTTTGTTGTTTTTGTGCTGCATTGTTAAACATTCTTTGCTGCATTAAAATATCTTCTGAAATAAGAAGCTCCAATGACTTCTGGACACCTGACTGCTTTCATTAATCTACTTGGATTGCTTTGCCATTTAAAAAAAGTTGTAAAGGACCTAAAAATATCTTCAGTGGCCAAGTAACTGTCTGAAAACTGTGAGTCATTAATGGCCACAGGCAGAAATGAAGGACAACGGCTCCTTAAACACCAGCAGGAAAAACTGGGATTAGATGATGAGGGAGATTTTTTTCTGTTTGACCCTTAATGGATGCTTGCATTGGGGCATCTTGTGGTTCATTGATGCCTATATTAAGAATTATTCTGGGAAATGCACTTTCCCTTGTTGGTCTTCATTTTAAAATTTCCCTATGTGGTATTAATTCTAAATACATACCTAGAAGCTATATCCTTTCAGAGAATCTTGCCAAACTTCCTACAATAGATCCTTATTTTTGTGCTATGGTTTTTATAGATATCAAAGTTTATTCTAATTGCCTTTGTCAGCAGAGCTGGCTTTTAAATGAAAGAATTGATGTCACAAAAACATTCAGGACTTGCTTAAAAACAGTCCCATATTTTCACTATCCTCTGAAATTGCCAAAAATAAACTATTTGTGACTTTTTAAGGATTAATAGATTTTTTTTTTCTTCTTTAAGAGGCTGAGCTTGCATTTGAAATGCTGTAGGAAAACAGCACCATGAATTACCATGCTTTAAATAGCTGGAGAAATATTTTTTGAATGTAATTAAAAAAAAAAAAAAGAAAAGGAATCACAAACCTTCTGTAAGGTTACTCAGAAATGCCTTGTGCAGTGCAGTACCTCTGGTGTGTTGAGGTTACTTGGAGGCTGTCTCCTCACAGGGGGAGGTTTTCAGGTTTTAATACACATTAATCTTCTCAGGTAGCACATTTCATAATATTTCACAGAGAGGAACTAGCAGGTGATGAATTATCTGAAACTCCCAATGGTATCCTTTGGAATGGGAGATCATTGTGCTCTGGTACATGGATGCTGTGTCTAGAGTTATCAGATGTTATAAGATGACATATATCAAATACAGAATACAGATTAAATTACAGCTATTTAGGCAGCACATTTACTTACAGAAATAAATTGAAGTATGGCAAGAAAGGTCTAAGTGCACTTGATATTTTTGTAAGAATCTAGGAATGAAAGGAAGAATCTAGAATCTAGGAATGAAAGAATCTAGAATCTAGGAATGAAAATCAAGGTTAATAATGTAATTTTCAAGTTTGTAATTTTAAGTGAGGAAACTTACTTCAAGCTAAAGAAGGGTGCTGTATAGTGAGTACATTGTTTTACTCCAGGATACTTTAGAGTATCCCTGTGGGATGCAGCAGTATCAATGCTTGTGCAACACTGTGTCATGTCAGGGTTTCAAAGCCTTAAAGCTCCAATCCCTTTCTGTCGGAGAGAATGAGGGCCTTTGTCGGGGTCCCTGTTCGGGCGCCAATTGTCACAGAGAAATGAGGGCCTTTGTCGGGGTCCCTGTTCGGGCGCCAATTGTCACAGAGAAA